CTGCGCCACTGGGATTACAGGTGTGTGCCAATTGCACCAGCCTTCATAACTCATTTTTAAAATTCATCTGTATGGAAGTATAATGTATACTATATTACTTCATAGATATTAAATACTCAGCAAATATTAACTGTTGCTGTTGCTGTTGCCTTTACTTATTAATGGGCTCAAGGTCCAAACCTGTAGTCAGGAGGAGTCTAGAAGAATGTGTTTCTCATTTAGCTTTCCAAGGTTCTTCTACTGAACACACTTTCTTTTCCTCTCAATCCTCTAATGGTATCATTCTGTATCACCTGCAACCTTTCCTTTTTTGGGAATGTGTTTGGACTGCTCATCAAAATTAGAGACTGAGCAATCCATTTTAATTTTGTTATATTTTAAAATTTATTAGCATATTATAACTAGAGTTCACTAAGCAATATTTTTCATTCACTCGGTTTTTTAAAACATTTGCTGAATCCCAGTCTTTTCTTTCTCCTATTGGCCTTCATCCTTTTTGAACCTTAGATGTTGAGAGTAGATTAATTATATCCTTCAGCTCCACAACATGCTATTGTCATCAGTATATCTGTCTCTGGTCTTAGTTTTACCCTTCAAACCTAACCTCCACCTTGTATGTTCTTCCCTTTGAGTATCTACTCTGATATGTCTTTACATGCACTTTGTAAACAGGTAATAGTTTTGTATTTACTTAGGGGAAGATATTATGCTGTGAATATCAACATGACATTTTAAAACTACCCATTTTTTTTAAAAATTATTTTTTAGCTGTTTTATTTATATGTGGTGCTGAGGATCTAACCCAGGGTCTCATGCATGCCAGGCAAGCACTCTACCACTGAGCCACAATTCCAGCCCCCTATCCATGTTATTTTAATATGATTATTAGTGCTTCTAACTTTTAACTGTATTTTAATCTGTTTTCCAAAAGATGAACATTTAAATCACTACCAGTTCCACACTACCACAAAATGTCCTGCAGTAAACACAGTTTTACATTAATATTTGTAGATGGGATGATAATGTGTGTCCAAACTGGGATGATTTTGAAATTGAAAAGGAACACTTAATAACACTGGGGCAGAAGGTGTATACTACGACTTCCAGACAAACTAGAGTATGTGAACACCTTATTCATGAAAGATTTTTCTAGAGTATAGCTAATAATTAGAAAATATGAATTGGATAGGCTTTCTCCTTCCAGTTGTTTCAGATTGGCATCTGTTCTAGTTTGTTGATAAAATGTGCTGGATGATTGTTGTAAATTTAAAATATCACCCTTGCCAGAAAATACTCCTAAAGGGGATTTCTAGGTCACAGGTTATAGACTACTTAATTTCAATAGTTTAAGTTCTAATGTAGTCTTTTCCTGTTTATAGGTGGGTGGACTTTTAAATCTGTCTAACCATTTTTCAGGAGTTCTCACATTTGTACTGTGTATTTATTCCTCCTCTTGCAGCAAAACTATATAGTTTTGGTAAGTAGCCATTACTAGTTTATTGATAACTACTCCTAGAACCTTACTCCAATATAACAACTACTGTGTGTTTTATAAAGATTTTTTTTCATATTTTATGTTATTGAGTCCTAGTATTACTCTTTGAGGTAGAGAGGGCAGAATTTTTAATCCTTGTTTTACAGAAAAGGAAGCTGAGGATCAGAGATAAACTGACTCACATTTCTGGTAAGTTATGGAGTTGAACTTGGAATCGTTTCTTTTATTTGCTTCTACAGTATTTAAAAGGGACAGGCAAAAAGATAAGCTTCTGTTTGTGATTAAAACAGGGATTGTCCAGTTTAGCTTTGCCTTTTTCAGAACCTAACATAGTACCTGACATGTGGTAAATAACTCCTAGTTTTTATTAAACAAATAAACTGGGGATTATCTAGGGATACTCAGGGTCCAAGTTTAAATTTTTATTTTAATTTTAATACTGGGAATTGAACCCAGGGACTCCTGTGCATTTGTATGCTAGGCAAATGCTATCCTATTGAAGTATATCTTGAACCCCAGGTTTGAGTTGAAACACTGTTACTCAGTGTTGTGGAGACTTCCATTTATAGTAGCAAGGCTTTGAGTTATAGATGAGCTCAGTTCTGTAAACGTGGATGAAGAGGGCTTTACATCAGCCCAAGAGTTCTCATTTTAAGTGGTTTGGTTCATTTATGACAGAAGTTAGCAATGAGTTATAAATGTACCTATATAATGTGATATTAAGGGGTGGGTAGTAGAATATGCTTGTTTATAATAAGCCTCAGTAAGATTTCTTCTACTTATCTTCTTTTGGATACTGTTTTATTGCTTTAAATAACCTGTGGCAGAGTTCCTTCTCTTGCTAACTATTGTAATGCATTTGGCTACTTAATACTTTCTTTCTTTTCCCAAGATCCCTGGAGACAACAGCATTTTGGTGAGACTCCAACCATACTGAGGATGTTGGATTTCATTGAAAGATTTTCTGTAAATAGTTTGTCCCAGGATTGGGACAGGCTGATTGGCCTCATCCCCCTTACCCAAACCTGCTATTGTTTTGAAGTCATTTCAGAGCCTTCCATAATCTGGATCTGTCTACCTTTTCACTTCATCTCAAGTTATAAGAACCTCCCTAACGCCCCCATCTTCTATGATACAAATTAAGAGTATATCTTTCATCCTACCAACAGGGAAAACTTTTTAGAAAGCCCACGTATTTTCTCTTTTTAAGTATGTGTTTTCACATTTTCTTTATCCATTAACCTGTTTTCTTAAACAGATACTTAAAGAGAGGCTAGTAGTATAAAGGTGTCTATGCCTATTCCTTCCGGTTGTACCAATGCATTTTGTTAATTTTAATTGTTTCCAAATTATCTCCTTTCTCTTTCTCTCTGTACTGTGGCCCTACCAACCAGTAGTTAACATAAAGAAGCCCCTAAAGGAGTTTCAGAGTTTCTTTTTCCTATTTTTTTTTCCTTCCACTTTTTTTTTTTTTTTTTTTGGTACTGAGGATTGAACCTAGCGGTGCTTAACCACTGAGCCACATCCCCTACCCCCCATCCCCGCTTTTTTAAAATTCAGAGATAGGGCCTCACTAAGTTGCTGAGGCTTGCTTTGAACTCATGATCCTTCTGCCTCAACCTCCCAAGCCACCAGGATTACAGGTGCGCATGGTGGTGCCTGGCATCTCCACATTTTTTATTGTTGCATTATAATTGTACATATTGATGGGATTTGTTGTTGCATATTTGTACATGCACACAATATAACAACATGATTTTGCCAATATCATTCCCCTGCATTCCCCCCTTCCCTCCCTGCCTTCTATCCCTTGGTTGCTTTCCTCTACTGATCTTTTGATTTTTAGGGGTCCACTCTGACCTTTGATTTCCTTTTTTCCCCTCTAGTTTCCACATATGAGAGAAAACATACAACGCGTAACTTTCTGAGTTTAACTTATTTTACTTAACATGATGGTTTCTAGTTTGATTCATTTTCCTACAAATGCCATAATTTCTTTTTTCTTTATTGTTGAATAAAACTCCTTTGTTATATATCACATTTTCTTTATCCATTCATCTGTTGATGGACACCTAGGCTGATTGAATAGTTTGGCTATTTTGAATTATATCTTCTTTTCTTAAATGCATAGGTAAAATCCCTTTATGACAATGGTTTCTATAGAGTGAAATTCTTTCTACAGCTTAGTGGTTGGTCCATTGAAACGGCACTTTGTTAGCTTGCTAGCTTTGTTAGCTCAGCTAGCTTGTTAGCTTGCTTGCTTTCTGTATTTTATTGTAATAAGAACAGTTAAATCTACCCTGTTGACATATTTTGAAGTGTCTGGATCTGTCTACCTTTTCACTTCATCTCAAGTTATCAGAACCTCCCCAACACCCCCATCTTCTATGATACAAATTAAGGCTGTATCTTTCATCCTACTAACAGGGTACTTAATATTGTATTATTAAGTGGGATTTGGAGGGGCTGAGGTCTCTCAGTTAGTGTGGGCAGTGCTGGAATTTGAACACATCCCTAGCACTTCCTTACATTGCATTTTGCGTGTGTGTGTGTGTGTGTGTGTGTGTGTGTGTGAGAGCAGCTTTCAAAGTTAAACTTGTGTCTATCTGTAAGCACAATGTTCTATACCAGATCTCTAGAACTCATTCATTTTGCATAACTAAAATTTTATACCCATCCAAAATAAATTCATAGAAATGAAGAATAGAATAGTGTTTTCCAGGAACTAGAGGTTTGGGAGATGGGCAGTCGGTAGTCAGTAGGGAATCAGTTTTATCTAAAGTGAATAAAATTTGGTCATGACTATACCCAAGTATGTGGTTATTTGTACTTGAGATTAAAAACAAAAAAAAGGGGGGGAGGATTTTGGTTCTATGTCTACCATGAAGCATCAGTTACCTTTCTGGTTTTGAGGTTTCCTACCAAAACCTATCCACTGACCTCCTCCCATAACACAAAATGGAAAATAATAAATGAAATTCCCTAGATCACTTCTTCCAAAACTGCCATATACAAATTCTCCAGAATCTTGAGAGAAGTATGGAGAGGAAGTTATGGTTGGAAATCTCTTTCTCAATTAAGAACAATTCATTTCATAATTGGTTAAAAGCTTAGGTTCTTATGAACGAAGCTAATCCTGTTACATTAATACTAGAAATGCCAGGAATGCCATCAACAGGATCAAAATCAACTGTGAGCAGAACCACTTAACATCTTACAGGAATGACTATATTCTTTAATTGTATGTAGATCTTTCTGAATGTATTCAACAGGTCATCTTGATCTCTGTGTTTGTATTTTCAGTCCTACCTGACCTGAGTGGGCAATTTGGTATTCTTGACCTTAACTCTTGAACTTAACCGACCTTGTTTATGACTATTGTAGCTGCCTCACAGTCTGACTTACCAGCCTCTCCTCCCCTAGGCCTTTTCTTTCTCTGTACTTCTCTAATCCCTTTTCTTTCTTCTTCACCCCCATCTCCTTCATTCCTCCATGATTTTCTCAGGGCTGGGCTTCAACATCGTCGGTGGGACAGATCAACAGCAAGTCTCCAATGACAGTGGCATCTACGTCAGCCGCATCAAAGAGAATGGGGCTGCCGCCCTGGATGGGCGGCTCCAGGAGGGTGATAAGATCCTCTCGGTGAGAACTGGCTTCTTCCTCCTTTGCTGTACTTTGCTCCGTAGTTCTTAGGTCTTACCCTAACCCCTTTCTTAGAAAGATTGCTGCCTACCTTTTTGGATCTGGAAATATCCAGATTATATAGTTGAATGGGACAAACCTTGCTCAGTCTTCCAGCTCTACCATTGGGCTTGGAGGATAATATGATCTTTGGTTGATAGACATGGCAAATTAAACCCATAATATGAAGTTACTTGCCCAAGTTCCAAAAATCACAAATCAGAGAGAGGTGAAGGACTGGTGTGGGGAAGAGATTTAAAACCCACAATTTTCATCATTTTTCCAATATTTTATTACCTCTCTTTTGCTAAAAATTAAAAAATGAATTTGTATTTTTTGGGGGATTGTTAGCCTCTATAAATTGATTTAGTTTCAAAGAAGAAAAGCAGGAATTCAGTGTATTTTCTTACTCATTATAGACTCAGAACTCTTTCTTACCCATTATAAAGATGAAAAATTGGAATGCAGTTTAATTTTGCTATCTTATCAACTGTGCTCCCATTTCATCCTGCTAACCCAGTATCAAAATAAATTAGACTTAGCCTATAGTAAATCAGAATACTGGCAAAATAAGAATTTTAAAACTATTAAAATGCACAGCATGCATCTGGCCTCACTTTTCATTTCTGTTCCCCATCATTGGCTATAGTATCACAGTATCTCAGTTGTGAGAGAGGTAGGAAGGTTAGGTGATTTTTTTTTTTTTGTCTGTTTTTGTTTTGTTTTTGGTGATTCTGGGGATTGAAACCAGGACTTTTTGCATGCTAGACAAGCACTCTGCCAACTGAGCTATATCCTCAGCCTGGTTAGGTGATTTTGTAGATTTTTTTTTTTTTTTTTAGTTAAACTCCAGGGCTAGCTAAAAAATAACCAGCTAATTACTAGTTGTAAATGATACAGTTGATTGTTATAAAGAATGGAAGAGTGTTGTGGGGGGTAAGTTTTACATTCTTTGGAGTTAGAGGGGGCTTCAAAGGGCTAGACAAAAATAAATAGAAATTTGAACTAGTTTCGTTTTTTATGGAAAAAGAAAAAGAAAAAGCCCCTACTTTCTTCTTCACTTGGGCCATAGATTATGAGCCCATGGTCTGAAGAGGAGAAAACTTTTTCTTTCTCTTGTGAATGAGGCACAAAAGTTAAGTTGGGAAGAGGCTGAAATAGATGGATGTAATTTAGGTTAAGAGAAATCTTGATTTAAAAATTAGTCTAAGAGACTTAATTTTGAATCTGCCTCTATAAGAAAGGTATATCCCTTTAAAGACTTTGTTGTAGCTTTGTTTAGAACTTTCCCTTTTGAATTATATCTCATGCAGTTCAGTTGAATAGTGATTAAAGGACATATGTGGGAAGTCTCCTGGTCCTCTGAGTTATTAGACACTTCTTTGCATTCCAGCCCATTTTTTAGTAATATGTGTAGGCAGAGATACAAAGAAAAGAGAATGTCCACCTCTTCTTCACTTGATATCTGAATATTCAAGAGATCAGGCTCAGCAGTAGTTCTGAATACCTCTTCAAGAAAGCTTTATGACTCCACTTAGTCCCCAGAAAATCTAAATTAACTAAAAAATGTTTTTTAAAAAATGTGTCCTGATCCAGAATGTAAATATAATCTCATGGATGGCTTTATTTCAGTCCATCTCACTGTTTTTACTGTGTCCTAGCCCATTAAACTTCTCCTAGGTGCTGTTTATTAACCTTGTAAGATGGAGACAGGGATAATCTACCTTTCATCTCAAATGTATATTGAAGAGTTTAGAAGCACATGATGTCCTATGGCTCCCCAGAGAAAGACATCCTAAAAACTGTGAATCAACTTGGCAATGGTACAGTAAGGAAAAAGAGTGGGTGGTTAAAATAAAGTTATAGCATGTAGGTAGGATCTATGAGGTTTAGTAATTTGAAACACAAATCACAATCTCAAACAGGCTCTGTGGTTAAAGAAAGACTTGAATAATAAAGAGGTTAAGAAGAGAACTATAGTATTTGAAAAGCTTTGGTTAAATGTAGATCATTGCAAAATGAAAACAGTGAGAAGTTTTTAAGCATTAAATGACAAGTAGCATTTTTAGAACTTTAGACCTAATCTTTTTTTAAAAAAATATTATCTTTATTGGCTATATGATATTTCTTTCTTTCTTTCTTTTTTTTTTTTTTTTGATACTGGGAATTGAACTCAGGGGCACTCAACCTCTAAGCCACACCTCCAGCCCTATCTTGTAAAATTTATTTAGAGACAGGATCTCACTGAATTCCTTCATTCTTTGCTAAGTTGCTGAGGCTGGCTTTGAACTCTTGATCCTCCTGTCTCAGCCTCTGAAGTCGCTGGGTGTACAGGTGTGTGCCACTATGCCTGGCAGACTTAATCTTGTTTAATATTATAATAACCCTATGAGGTGGATATTAATATTATAATAACCCTATTTCACTGCTAGGGAAACTGAGGCTTGATGAAGTCAAGCAGCTTGCCTAAGGCCACACAAATAATAAGTGTTGGGGAACTAAAACTGTGGTCTGTCCAAACTTGAAGTCTCTGTTCTTACCTTGTGTGCCCGTATGGTCAGTTAACAGTAGATGGTAATCATATGCGTACTGAAATTAGTCTCTAGAAGATGGACTTATTGGAAGGCCTCTGAAGTTTTAAAATAGGGCTGGGGGGTAGTGATGGATAGTGAGAGATTACTATCAAAGAAAGAAAAGTAGATGATTAAAAAACTCAGCTTATCTAACTTTAAAATTTATAGTACATAAGATTTTACTTTATCAAAACACATGTTGAAAAAGAGAAGGGAAAATGTCGGGACAGAATGGCAGAAATAGAAAACAGGTATGCAGGAAATAAGACAGAAAAAGATGGAGACATGTAAGAGGAGAGGGCAGCATATTCTCTCTAGCTAGGTCTGCATTCCTTTGACTTCAATTTCCCATCTAAGTTTGCTCCAAAATTTTCTCTGTAGATCCCTTAAGAAACACTGTGGAACAGTTTCTGTTACCTCACTCATCCATGGCATCAATTTCCTCTCTATGCTTAAGTTAACCCATTAGGCCATAACCATGAAATGGTTTCATCTTTTTAGCTTCCTTTAATGTACTTACATATTCATTTATTGTTGGCTTTGATGTCTCTATGAATGACTTTAAATTATTAGCACATATTTCCTTAATTTTTTTTTTTTAGTTGTAGATGGACACAATACCTTTACTTTATTTATTTTTATGTGGTGCTGAGGATTGAACCCAGTGCCACACACATACTAGGCAAGTGCTTTACCACTGAGCCACAATCCCAGCTCCAGTATATTTCCATTTTTTAATGGATTTTTCTATTCTCCTGATATGGGTTATTTTTCCATGTTTTAAAATGGGCCTCACTTTTTTCTAATAACTTTTGTGAGATAATCAAATTAAAAATATGTTCCTTGGCACACATCCATTTTAGATAACTAATATAAGTATCATTCAGTGACCTGTAAATTTTTTGAGTTATTGACTATCTTTTTATTCTTTCCAAATAATACCCACATATTTTCTTGATTTCAAGTTCTAAAATTGAATAATTGCATGTTATATCATGTAGTGCCCTCTTTTCTCATCAAAAAGTAAAATTTAATTTTTTATGATTGCTATGTATGATTTCAACTAAAAAAGAAGAAAATTTTAAAACTAATCAATGTTAAATAATTTTTTAAAGGTTGTGTTGTATGGGAAACAAAAATAGTTATTAGTAATGGAAGAAAAGACCTGAACTTAACATGAAGGCTGGAAATTCCTTCCTTCCTTATTTATTTATTTAAGTGTGTGTGTGTGTATGTGTGTGTGTGTGTGTGTGTGTGTGTGTGTGTGTGTGTGTGTGCATGTTACATGAGGATGGTTTCATATTAGAACAGGTTACCATGGAAGCTGGAGAAATTTTCTTTTTTGCTTAAAAGTAAAACAAGAGTAAACTCTCTGATGATTCTTATTTCCTCTGTCTGCGTAATGAAAGGAGGTAGATAGCTAATAATAGTGGATCTTCTGTAAATTCTCAATATTTTTTATGAAATTCAGGGTGATGCAGCTGGTTTATTACACTGCATAGATGCATGCTCCTCTTTAACCAAACCATTTATAAAACAAAATAGTATAGACTGGGCCATTAGCCAACTGCATTTCATATTCTGTTCAAGTATAAGTCAATTGGGTGAAAGAAAGAATTGGTTAGTTACCATTTATCAATTATTGTATTTGATGGCCTTTCAAGCATATGTCGGGGCTGTGGAAAGTTACAAAGAAGATGAAAGTCTGGTCTCCATTTAGATTAGCAATTGGGGAATGACCTAGCAGAAACCCCATCTAGTTAGCTATACAGACATTGAAATATATAGACAAAGTGCCTCTACAGAAGAGTCTCTCTTCTTATCTCTGAATCTCTAGCACTGAGGCTTGTTATAGCTGGCACAGGTTAAAGATCTAACTTAGTTGTTCAGTTAGTGAATCATTCCATTATAACATACTGACTCTTTTGGTTGGGCCTGACTAATTGGATTTAAATAACTTTTTTTTTTTATTCTCTCAACTTTGACGAAAAAAGAGACAAAAATGTGGTTTCAGGATCTTGATAAAAATATCCACAGTATTGTCTAAGATTGATGCTCATTAAATTGGGCTCATTCTTTCTTTATGGCCCCACATCTATCCTGTAGTGAGAGCTCCTGTTTTGGATTATCCTGAGGCAATTTGAAATTCTGAATCATCCAAGAAAACTTAATTTTAGCTTAGTTTATTTCCTAAAGCAAAAATAGGAAGCACATCTAGCACAGTAGTTTGCCAGTAGTCAGAGTTAAAGCAAAAATTTTGTGTTAACCCATCAGTTATTAATTAGAACACCACCATCCTGATTCTCCAAATAATTCACTTGGTAAATATTTTTAGTACATTGTAAACTTGTTATTGGGTTCAATAAAACTTAATTATGCCATGAGTTA